GCTGAGGCAGAAACAAACAAACCAGAAGAGAACAGGCCCTGAAAATGCATCAAACATTTGTTGAAAGGAAATAGACAGTAACGATGATCACTATGGGGGTTAAAATTGATTTTCTAACTAAGATAATTGAAAGATTTATTTTAACACAGTGCTAGACTTAGCTTTACCTTCAGGCAGTAGGGGTTTTAAACATCCATATGCTTCAACATGGGATTAGCAAAGCCTTACCTGGTTGGGCCTTGGAACTCCCTATACACTTATGTTGGTCCAAATCATCTGAAGAAACTCAGGTTATAGTCTCATAGAATAAGGGAAGTGAATACACCCCAAATTTGTACCCTCTTTGAAGTCTTTGCCCGCCAACTGAAATATTTTTATATTTCTATATATTTATAAATGTATAGAGGGTAAATATTTTTATATTTCTATACATTTAAAAATGTATAGAGGGTAATTTTTAGTGTTTCAGAGAAGGTACTGTGTGACTTGTTAAACCAGCAAAAATTCCTCTCCATGACCATCACCCAAAGACCCATTTTCTATGTCTTAATTTGAATAGTTCTTTTTAATAATATTTGAATATTATTCTTTAATGATTTCTCACTGACCTGCAATAGCAATTTGCACTTTTGAATTTTAAGGTATATACTCTGAAGTTTTAACATTTTCCCCTGCAAAGACTGTTGGCAAAATATCCACCACCTCTGTTAATACATTCCACTTCTTATTGAATTGACATTGTTATGATAAATACCATCAGCTGTTCAATGCCTGGGATTGCTTTTAGTAAATCAATTTCCATTATGGTGCTGTCTAAATATGGAAATACAAATTCTTGCTAGCAGAGATAGTCATTAAAACTAAAATTCATTAAAATTAGTAGGGGTCCTAAAAGAGGAATGGAACTGGCTCATCAACATTTGAAGCTTTCCATTTATAAGAATTATTTATTACATAGCACAAAAGATTAGATGAAAATAGGGAAGTGTTATCTCCAGCTGCACAGGTATGCATCATTTAGAGAGGTGAAGCAGATAGTGTGTGTGAGGAATCCAGGTGGGGAGGATTGTGAATGTGATGCTCTTTAAAACAAACTGAACTGGTTTTTTTTTTTTTATCTTCATTGCCTTGAAAAGATAAAATAGGCAGTTGGCCAGAGGGAAAAGTCACCAGCAAGAGTTCAATTGCAGACCTCTCACTTCAAGGAATCTCATCTAATCAGGTTGCAGAAAGCCAGTGGAATCAGATCTGAGCCTGGACACACAGAGGGCCGCTTCAAAGACTTGCCTTCAAACCACTGGGACTCCTCAGATCATTTGTTCCCTGAGTGACTTCCCTGGCATTGATATTAGTGTCCTCTGTCCCTGCTGAGCGCTGCACACACTCCTATGGCAGTGTGTGAAACAATGCAGAAATAGACTCTTCAGCAGAACCTCTTCCTCATTCAAAAAGGCAGAATCAAAATGCATATAAAATACATTCTTATCTTTGGAAGGGAGCTTACAGATCAAGTTTCCATCTTCTTTGTAACAGAATATCTGCAGTTGGTCATCCAGCTATGGGGTGTCCACAGACTTGAAATAAATCCTAATTTTGAATAATTACATAACACAAGAAGCCACTCCCTGATATTGATATGCAGTCTCTATCTAAACTTCTGTATGTTAATCTTTGCACTGAAGTTACCAATTTTAAAGCAATTCTCGTATTGCATTTACAAGCCTTCTCTTCTAATATTTCACAATAGTTCCTTCATCCCCATTAAGTATTTGGTTCCATGATAAACATCTCTAATTCCTTCCAATATTTCTCATATAAAATGACAAGGACCCTTAATGTTCAAGCCTCAAACCCCTGTACAATTTTACCACAATATATTTTAAAATTTGATAACCAAATACAAACCTAGTATACCTGAACATAATAAAATATGAAGATCTAATTACATAGTCTCTTCTCTTACTATACTTGAAGTTTTTATACATGGGTTTACTAAAATGCTTAATACTTTTTGGAATGAACTATTTAATTGACTTACTTGAAGAGAGTGATGCAGGATTTTAGATACATCTTTGTTAAATTTTACCTTACTAGCTTTGACTTTGATCTTAATTCTTGACTCAGGATGATTTTTTACAATCTGTGTATTATATGGGATGAAATCAGAAGTAGTGAACCTCCTGTTTCATTAGAAGGTGACCTATAGGTGGTCGCTAATCCCCTTTAAGTAATATTAGTCAAATGGCTGTAAGCCATGTAACGGCATGTGGTGTTTTAGCTTATCCTCAGGGGAGATTCCTCAGCTGCTTTGCTGAAAAGACTGTCATGTCTTTAATAAATCTGTATTTTTTCTTTGAGAACACCAGGTTTTTTTGTTGAGTATTGACAAGTCATGTCATTAAAATCCTACCGAAATATTTTCAGGTATATATGTCAAATGTTTGATATCTCTGCCTGGAATTTAAGTTTACCATTGAAAGAATTCATATTGTTTGTGAAGAACAAAGTAAACTTTAAAAATAATTTAAAAATCATTAATTGCTTTTCCATAATGGCATATGCAAATTATTTTAATATACTAAATTACGATTAATGATAAGTTGTAATGAAGCATTTAGAATTTAAATCTGATTATTAGAGCGCGAATTTGACTGGGGTCACTTATAATGAGTGTGGTCTTTGTTAAATGATGTGTTCTTGGGGCTTTGGCTTGTGAAGATGATGAATATGAAGGCATTGGTAACAATAACAATCAATTTGGGATTTCAATGTATTTACAATATATAATGTACCCGTCTTCACACTTTCAATAAAATTTATTGAATTCAGTGAATTATTTTTTTTCTCATGCAGTTTAGGAAGGCTTATGTTCTTACTTCTTCATTCAGTCTCTCAGCATTTCTAAGAATTCATTGCATGAGCTAAAATTTCTTTTGAATTCACCTCAGTTGAATCTGTTCCTTTCCTGTTTTGGCACTGGCCCCAGATCATTGTTTTTTTAGTTTATCATCACCCTTGCCAAAGACCACTCATTATTGGCAAATACCTATACCAAATATATACTTGAAATTGTCTTGTCCATAGAAATCCTATCTAATCACCAAAGAGAGTGGCTTAACTTCTTTCTATGACAATCATCTTCCTACTTCTGATAGTCCCATACCTTTTTCTATATAGAACAGAGAAAAATCAGTCTTTTAATATACCTTCTAGAAGTTTGTTATAAGCCCATCTAACTGTACATCATTTTAAAGATTAGTACTATGTTTTGGTAGTGTTTCAAAAGAAAGAGGCATAGCTGTGTTATGATTGTGAAACTCTGGACAATAAAATTGTAATTCTTCCACGATCGCACTCTGTTATGGAATAACACCTTCAAGAGCGTCTGAATGTCATTTTCTTTCAAGCTGCCAGTTTTATAACTTTGGCAAGCATCTTTCTCTTTCCCTTTTGACATCTCCAGGCATTCAATTGTGACACATAGAAGGCTGTGTTTTAAAGGACGAAAAGCAATATTCTGCCCACAGTTCTGGCTAGATTTCCCTATCATTTTTCCGCAGAATTGTGCAATCTTCAAGTTGTTCCAAAAAATATGAAAATGATCATTACCACTGTAGGATATTGTCCAATGTGCTTTGAGAGTTTGAATTACAATCCTGCTCTTTAGTTAGAGTTTTGCATACAATCTACACCACACTAGAAAGGTATCTGTAATGAAGAGAGCAATGACCTACTTATTTGACATCAGAAAGAAAAAAGAGTTTTTTAAAACATTTTCCTTAAAGTGAAAATTCTTCAAGTAAGTTGAGCTACGGTTATTGGCATTATGAGGGGAATTATAAAATGTATAGTCTTTAACACAAGTCAAATCCTATTTGTAAAATATTATTTCAGTCACTTGAATAAATGATTGTTGATTATATGAAGGCTGCTATGTTAATGAGATTTTCATCACTGTGACCATAATGCCTGACCAGAACAACGTAAAGGAAGAAAAGTTTGTTTTTGGCTTGGTTTATATTTCAGAATTTCTGACCATGGTCAGCCAGCTCCTTTGTCTGGGCCCATCATGGGGCAGAACATCATGG